TCGGCCTCGTCCAGCACATCACTCTGGGGCTCCATACCGGCTGCAATCAAAACATCAATCGCCTCATCGACGGAATATGGCGCCTCATGGGTCGCACTCTCCACCACCTCGTTCACCCCCACGTGGCGATCATGTCGGCCAGGGCCGTAGTCTGCACGACCATGGGGAAACGTGGTACGGAGAACCTGGGCCACCTCCACTTCCACGTGTGGCCGCTGGGGCGCTGCCAACACAACCGCCAAGTTCCGAGGTGGCAGCCGGGCACCCACGGGAAGGAGGAACCTTTTTTTGCCATCGACCTGGGGGGAACACCTCCAACTTCCCCGCGAAGCGTAGGCCGCGCCGAGACGACCGCAGTGCTGAGCCGCGGTCTCACCACGCGCAGTCCTCGGGCTGGGAACCTCCGCCAGCGCCTCGCCCGAGCGGCCACGCGCAGCGAGAGCAGGAAGTCCTTCGTCAAGCACGTGGAAGATCAGAGCCCGTCCTCCGCCCCACCCTCAGGTCATCGGCCTCGAGCGCCTCGACTGCACGCGCAGCCCAAGCCACCCAGGAGAGCGAACGCAAGGAGGGCCTGCCGCCGTGGCCGGGACGCCGCGAGCTCGCTGGGCAACGACGTGCGCACGAGCCCACTTCCTCCGCACGCGGAATTCCTTGTTGGCCTCTCGGCCCGTGCCTGAGAAGCGGGCCGGGCGAAAGGGGGGTGATAGCAAAGGGGGGGGTGAGAATCGGCTCACGCAGCTGCTTTGCCCGGCGCCTCCCGGCGCTGGAGGCGGCCATGTATCAAGGAATGGGCCCCTCGGTGGGGCCCAAACCAGCTGCATGCAGCAAATTTCGTAACCCCCTCTTTCCCTATCCCCCCCTTCCGTCCGGCCCGAGAGAGAACGACGGACTGCTCCAGAGTTAGGCTCACGAGTGGCCAGCATGCTGCCGCCCGCGCCGTGGATATCTCGCTCGGCTCTGGAACGTCTCTCGCCTCGGGATGACGCCGTCCTCGGCGTCGTCGTCCTTCACACCCGTGAAGGCCACCGCGCTACCAATGCAGATCGCCCGCGGGACCCCTCTGAAGGAGGCTGGGGTCCTTTCTCACTTGAGACTGGCCGAAATCGCTGTCGCGAGCAAGCACGCGAGCACGCACGCGAGCACACACGAGAGGCTATCGCCTACTGACTCTCAGCAGGCCCCCCTGACCTACTAACCTCACTGGGGCCCGTCGGATCAGCACATAGGGAGCTCCACCGCAGGCCCCATTTGCAGGGTCCACATGCACCTCCGCCACCCAGTCCAATGTTTCGCGGCCCATAGGGAGCTCCACCGAAGGCCCCAGTGGCAGGGTCCACATGCGTCTCCGCCACCCAGTACAACGTTTTGTAACCCATAGAGAGCTCCAGCGAAGGCCCCATTGGTAGGGGCCACATGAGTCTTCCCCCTCACACGTTTTGTGCCCCCGTAACTAGGGAGGCCCACGGAAGGCCCCAGTGGGAGGCGGAGGGTTCACATGACTGCTCCATTTCGGCACCCCGCGGCCCGCAGCCATGAATTACGGCACCCGCCTCGGGCGTTTCGTGGACCCGTAGTGAGCTCCACCGAAAACAATAACGACAACGCGGCATTCACAACTGTATATAGTTGGGTCCATCGCCAGGGTAACTTCAGAAAGTCGGCCCCGGAAGGTCCCGACCCATTCCCTGGCCCAGGGAATGGGTCATTACCCCCTCTGATTTGGGGATCCCAAAACCGTGTGGTGACAGACCGTGCGGTGACCTCGGAACCCCAGGAGACCTCACCGCACGGTCCGTCACCGCACGGTCTTGGGACCCTGGCGGCCCCTGTCGCCCGAGACATCCTCGGAGAGGGACTTGAGTCCCAAAACCGTGCGGTGACCCCGAATCCCCACCGACTCACCGCACGGTGTGGTCACCACCCCGTTTGGGGGCCCTCGATCTGATACAACTGCCTGACAACAGAGGGGCAGCGGATGCCAATCCCCGGGGCTGGTCTCTCATCCTGAGTCGTCTTTGTGGCGGTCCCGAGGCCAGGTAGGGGCCCCCCGAGGTCGGAAGCTGATGAAACACAATCCGTCGTGATGCTTTCACGACTCGATGGGGGTCTGGGGAGGGGGGGCAAGAGGGGGAGCGGGAGGGGGGGAGGGGGAGGATGGGGGAGGGTTTTTTTTCCACTGTATGCTGCTACAGACGGCACTGCAGGTGAATGCGTGGACGGCTGCAGGATGAAGGGTGCCCAGCACCGAAGTAAAAAAATGCACTGAAGCAACGACACCAGCACAGAAAAGTAAAGGCCAGAGGAGGTTGGAGCACCCTGGGGGTGGGAACCAACACAGAGTCCTCTGGGCAGGTGGCCCCGCCAGCTCCCAGAGACCCCGAGGGGGGTGGAAGCAAGTGGCGCGGCCGTCAGCGCGCTAAAGCTGAACGACGGGCTCCTGCCCAGAATCCCACACGCGAGAGCTCTGCTGCGGAGGCAATCCTTTGCGAACTCGCTGCAAAGCCTGCAGCTGCTTAGGGGAAATACGGTGCGGCCCATCCAGGGCCACAGCGCAACCAGCTAACAGGTTGACCGGTCGCTGCGTGGCCCACGCACCACACAAACCACAAAATGTATATTTGCCTTTATGCCACAGCTCATGTGAAGAAGATAGTTGCTGCCCTGCAATGAAGGCAGGGTGGGATACGAGCACAGGCGGATCTTCCATGCCAAGCCTGATCCAAAGGGCACCATCGATAGGGGCCAGGGGACCAGGCGCAGACCACAGGCGGGGGGGCGGGACAGGGGCCCTCGGAGCCAGGGCCGCGCAGGCAGAAAGGACACGGTCCCGAAACCCCCGAGTCTTTTCTTTGGCATGGAGTCCGCATTCAGAACAGCGCCAGAGACCAGGCGCGTGCAATTCAAAATGGTGCTGCGAACGGCTCACAAAATCTACTCGCTTCTGGCGGAGGGCGAGCAGCCTCGGAACCTTTGCTTTCACGACCACGCGCTCCTTGTTCTTCGGCTTACTCGCGATCTCCAAAGTGAGAGTGGCAATCCGGAGCAAGACCTGTTTGGCCTTAAGCTCAAGCGCCAGCAAAGCCTGGCACTGGTGCGCGGGTACCTGATGCGCATCTGCTTTACTGGCGGCGAGCTCGTCCGCTACGCGATTGATATAGACATGATACGGGTCAGTGCTTCTCCAAAACCGTTCAAGCTTGTCCGAATTCTCTGCTAAATGTGACGGCACATGCACTAGCTCAAGGGGAACAGACCTTTTACTAGCCAACACCCAGAACTCCCACCACAGGTCAGCATTGGCAAGGTGAAGGCAGTGGTTCCTGCCCTTATCATAGGCCTTGACATGATTTATATGGTCACATACAATCACGAGCGAATCGGACCACCTGACATGGCGTACAATCTCCACGAGAGCAGTGAGCTCTGCTCTGGGAACACTCTGGCGGGAGCTGTCACAGACACCTGTAACTCCATGGCTCCAGGAAGGCACTCCGTCCTCATCAACATCCAGGCGAGCAAAACTAAAGGAGACTCTGCGGAGAAGCGGGTGCTGCGACCACTGTCCGCCTGCACCATCAGAGCCATAGGTTCCGCCAGGGAATGGGGTCGAGGGCTCGCACCCGAGGTACTCCAGAAGGCGAGAGGAAGGAGAGGGAGGAAGATCCAACCAATCACAGGGAATGAGCCCTCTTCCCCAGAAAATTTGGGCAACCTCGAAATCTGCAAGGGCCTCATGCCGCAGATGCTCAGTGTCAGTCACCCGGGCGCTGTCATGACTGGCATTACACATGCATTCCCAAGCCCTGTGCTGAGGGCTCTCATATCTGACGTCCTACCCCTCACTCTCATCCCTTACCATGGCGTAGATCTCCTCCCGGTCCGCACAGTCGGATGTCGACCAGGGCAAATATCCCGAGAGCGTACGCGATGCATCGTAGAGCACGAAATAGCAGGGCGTACACGAGCACGGCAGAGCGCAGTATGTCATAGCATGGCGTGGCGTGGCCTATGCATAATTGCATCACAAAGCATTGCAACGCAAACAATGGCATCGCACAGCGGCACAGAACAGAACATGCCATAGCATGGCATTGAAGATCAACACGTAGCATGGCATAGCATGCCATGGCACTGCGTAGTCAAGCACTGCATACCCTAGCATTGCAGCTGAAGGCATGACATCGCACAGCGGAGCAGCACATGGCATTGCATTGCATGCCGTGGCATGGCACTGGAAATAATGACGCCAACGCTGCAGCGGGAGCAAGATTCGGAACGAGCGGAAGCGCGGAAATGAGGCCAGCGCTGTAGCGGGAGCACGATTCGGAACGAGCGGCGCCTCAACGGGAACAACATTTTGACATAAAACAAAAACCGAAAACCAGACTCCCGGGAATCTGGTATTAAAAACAGTACGCGAAGGGGGCCGCACATCTTCCTGACGTCATCAGGGGAGAGAGGAGAGTAATACTCATATGTAATTGTAGAACAGCGCTCTGGGACACCGTGGACTCTCCTGGGGCCTCTGGAGACATCCAGCGGACTCCCGAGGCCTCTTGAGACCTTCGGGGGGCCCTGGAGACAGCCTGGAGACCTCCACGCACCCCTTCGGGTGCTCGCTGACGGGAGGGCAGCCCACGCGGGGCAAAGATACGTGCACCCTTCGCGCACCTCTTGGGGCCCGCAGTGGCAGTTTAGGTGCCGCTTCGGGCCACGCACCCGCCGTGCACCTTGTGGGCCTGCGGTGACCGCTCGGGACCCCCCCTAAAACAGGGCTAGGATCGGGATAAATCGCTCCAGAGCGTTCCGGAGCGCTCTCAGAGCGTTCCGGAACGCTCTGGAGCGGCCGCGGCGCCCAATACATCCTCCAAACCCGCCGATTCTCAGAGATTTCGAGTTATCCCGATCCGATTTTGTCCCGATCTTCGTGTCGTTTTACCCCCCCCGTTCGTGGCCCCCCCCCCGTGGCCGCCCGCCCGGCCCCTATATGCACCTCGCGCCTCCGCCGGCTCCAGCTCCGCGACGGGCTCCAGCTCGATCCCCCCCGCCTCCTCCTGCTCCGCGATGCTGGCCACTCCGGGGCTGCTGGCGCCCCTGGGAGCGGACGCCTGGCCGTCCTCGGGCAGAGGAGGAAGAGGAAGAGGAGGAGGAGGAGGAGGAGGAGGAGGAGGAGGAGGAGGAGGAGGAGGAGGAGGAGGAGGAGAGGGCACACGTGTGCGCCACCGGGCCCTCGCGGGCACCACCTCGGCTCCCCACCATAGGCCCTTATGTGCACATCGGCTCCCCACCGGGCCGGGATCGAGGGGCCCCGAAGCCACGCAGTGACAGACCACGCGGCGGCCTCGAAATCCCCAGGAGGCCTCACCGCACTGTCCGTCACCGCACGGTCTGGGGACCCTGGATGCCCCCGCCGCGGACTCACAGCGCGGTATGGTTGCCACGCCGTTTCGGGCCCTCCGGTGGGAATCCGTAAACGCCCAGACCTGGCCAGAACAGTGGTGGCCCGCAAGGGCCTGGTGGTTCGCGCAGGGGATCGACCACAGAGTGGATTTACCCCATCGAACCTACGACGAATAGGTAGGTCAAGTCAAGCCAAGACCGGTCGAGGAGCCCATGGAGGCACCTCGCTCCGTAGGCGGAGGCGAAGGGCGTGAGACACTGCGGCAACATAGCGCGAGTGCAAGAGAAGTGACGGATAGGGCAATACTGAAATAAATAAAGTGTGCATTAGTTATTTCGCAGCGACGAATGTGTAGAATGCTCGTAAATATACCAGGAGGTCGATGTATTTGTCCGTAGATTCGGCGAGAAAATCTATTTTTGGGGAAATGAATTCTGTCGTCGATACCCTACTCGAGAGGTGATGCAATTTCTCCCTCTCCCGGGTCCTCTGGCCGCCCCACGAGGCCCCTCGTGATGCCGCGGTGGAGCTTGGCGAGCGCCTTCTGCTGGTACTCGGGCACCTGCGAAGAGAACATGCTGCCGCGGGACTCCTGCGTCCCGCCGCCCGGCGTTCCGTCGTTCACGCCGGCTTCGCCCCCCTTGTAGGGAGAGGAAGAGGAGGACTGGAAGGAGGAGGAGGACGAGGAGGAGGAGGTGGAGGAGGACAGGGGTGAGGAGGAGGAGATCGGAAACTGACACACTGCCCTTGGAGGGATACCTTTGGTGTGCTAGGCCAGCTTGGTGCATAAGTTTTGCCACCGGGGCTCAGGGCATGGCCTGACTCACTGGCTCGAGCTGAAACCCCCATGGACCGAAGTGCCCCAGACCTGGCAAAACAAATACACAGGGGACCCTCCGCCACTGTGCTGCACTCCGACCTTCGCGCTCAACGGGATGCCAAGGTACCTCACGAGGCTCTCCGTGGTGCCGCCGAAGATGATCACCGTGAGGTAGATGTTCACCATCGTGACGTCCACCAGGAGGCTCATGTTCTTCGTCCGCAGGTCGAGGGCGCACACCAGCGCGATGGCCCCGCGGAGGCCGCCGCCCCACCACATCACGAGGGCACGCCTCGGCGTGATCAGATACTCGTTGACGTCCTCCCGGTCCCACGACAGCCTCCGCCAGCGGTGGATCACGTTCCGCGCCGCCCCGAGGAGAAAGACCGCCACGGCGCGGCCGACCAGACAGGCCACGAAGACTATGACCGACAGCTGCAGGACCAGCACGTAATTACGCCGCTGCATCCACTGACCGCACACGCTCAGCGCCGCTCCGACGCCGACCATGGTGAATATAACAAAATCCCCCAGGTGCGCCAAAACTTCCAGAAAAGACTCGATGTACTCCTGGACTTCCACGTCAGAGAGGATTTCTTTCACGTAGACCCCCATGAAAGCCCCGCCAAAGAGCGTGGATATGATCCCGCTGAGGTTGAAAGCAACGGCGGAGATGTAGAGCACGAAGGGGCATAGCATCACGAAGAGTGCAGCCATCTGCTTATCATGCCGGAGGTGGCTCGCACTGAACACAGCAACCATTACGTGCGCGGCAATGACGCCCAGCCCGGAAGAGCCGAACAGCTGCCACAACATCTGCAGACCCAAAGACGTGAAACTCTCCTGCTCGGAGTCGGCTTTGCCGTTGAAGCCCTCAAACAAAACCAGGGCCACCGCGTCGTTGATAAGCGCTTCTCCCAAAACAATGATGTTGAGGAACGGCTCGACGCCCAAGCTCTGGAACGTGGTGAGCGTGGCCACCGGGTCCACCGCCGAGATCAGCGACGCGAACGCCGCGAGTTCGTCCTTGTCCCACTCCATGCCTATGGGCCCGGACATGAGCTTCAGAACCCAGAAAATCACAATGGCGGCAATCAAAGTGCCGCCTACGGCGAACAGCAAGATTGAGCCGAGCTGCGCGTAAAAGTCGCGCACATTGAGGGTCCACCCTGCTTGGAAAATCAAAATGGGGAGCAACACGAAGTTCATCGAGAGCGAAGTAGCCTCGTCGATCTCGTTCCACCCGCTTATCGGGAACTCTTTCCCCGTCTTCCAACACACGAGAGAGAACCCGGCGCCGCAGAGGGCGCCGATGAGCAGCACAGTGGCGCTCTCGGGGAGGACGTTCCACCTGCTGTGGTGGAGGCGGCGCACGACCATGAAGGTCAGGATCACCACGCACAGAATAGGCAGCATGAAGCCCTTGTTGGCACGAGACAGGCGGGCCCGTGGAGGGGCCCCGTGGGAGAGTCAGAACAGCGGCGTCAAAAATCTCGGGGCACGCTTCCCCCAAAAACCGTTCACAGCGGCAGGGGCGCCAACCCTTGCAGCACGGAGACCTTTTGAGCATGGCCCTTCCCATGCTCCGAAGAGCGGAGTGGGTGGCTGCGGCTCCAACTGCTCATGATCCCACCGCTGCCCGTGCCGCTCGCCCCGACCCCTCCCCCCAAAACCCCGTCGGCCGTCGACTTGAACACGGACCGGCCGTTCCGGGGTTCTTACAAACCTACCACGCGAACCACAAACCTTCCGGGGTTCTTACAATCTAGAACAAGAAAGTTCCAAGAACAACGGCGATGTTCGTAGAACATACCACCGGACTGTATCAGCCAGACATGTTCGAAGCACGTGGCGCGCACACCAGAAACTGCTATTCCAACAGCACCTGGCCGACCCATGGGCAAGGCAGGATGCTTCGCCATTGCTCTACTTGGCCCGCTCAGGGCCGACCCTGGGCAGCCATGTGATTTGGACGCCCGAAATGGGTACGGAAAGAATGGGCACTATGCCCAACAGCAAATGTTGTCCCGAACCAGCAGCGGCCGCTGTTGGGCGGGCGACCTCCTGTCTCGAATGGACACAGGCCGCGGCGGCGTGGACAGCGAGTCCTGCTCAAAATGAACAGGAGCTGCTGTTGGGCATCGTGCCCATTCTTTCAGTACCCCTTTCGGGCGTGCAGATGTGAGAGCCTTGGCGTAGGTGGGCAGCTGCTCCTCGCCGGGAGGCCGCAGGTCCATGCTGTCATCGGACTCGGACGTGCCGGCCGCCATGGCGGCCACGCGCCGAAGCCCCACGTGGGGCGCGCGCGCGCCCCGCGGCCGCACGCGCCTCTGGAGCCACACGAGCCGGGGCACCGATGCACCGATGGTGGGAGGACGAGGGCGGGGATGACGTGCTCTCCGGAACGGTTGCAAGGTTCGAGGTGGCCCAGGGAGGGGCGCGGGTTCGTTGCTGGCGGACGTTGGTTCAATCTCATCGAAGCCATAGCGCCATAGCGCAGCATCAGATAACTGGCCTTGGCGTATACTAGTGCCTCAGGCGGCGGGAGGACCAAGACGGGGATAAGGGTGTAAAAGCGCTGGAAACTGAACCGGGACGTCTAGGCACCCTTTGAAAGTTCGCGCGACCACAGCACAGGGCGCATAATCCCTCAAACCCGCGCGGAATCGCGTCGAGCTGCGCGAAAATACAGCGACGGCCGCAAGGGCGCCCTGGTGCCGACAGGGCCGAACGCGCCTGGAGCAAGGGCACCACGCACCGCCTGTCGCGCATAGCCGTTGCTCAGACAGCGGGCGCGACGCCGAGCAGAGGACTCGTACAAGGGAAAACAGGAATGAGGATGCACGCTCTCAACGTCTTGGCTACGTTAGAACATCTGTCGCGGAGTCGTGCATGTGGCATCTGAATGCTATCACAACTCCGCCTTTCTGGAACATCTGATGCGCCGGTTGGCGTGGCATGGCCTGGGGAATGCGTGACTGCGCCGCGAAAGCTCGCGGTCACACTCGCGCGGCTTGGCATCTCGCGCGACGGTTTCGCAAATTCGCGCGACCCTGGCGTCATCGTTTTGGTTCGGGACATCCCTCCACGTTGCTCCAACGCGCCAAGGATATGACTCTGCTCGGCGCCTGGCGATCTGTGCGCGGCCACTGGTTTGGCCATGTGTTGGCTACTCGCCAGATGCAGCTTGGATATATGCTGGCTGTGTGTTATGTGCTGTATATATATATATATATATATATATAGATTGGTACGTTTGGTTCGTTGCTGATGGGCTGTTGATTCTACCATCGTTATTGCTGTTGCATGTTCAATCACATGTTGGTTGTATGTTTCCCGTTCGGTGCACTCTTCGCGTGCATAGAGTATGATTGTGTTTGAATGAACCTGGTCTCGTGTCCCGTACACCTTCGGTGCCGACGCACACGCACCATGGAAGTAACGCTTGCTTCCGTGAGGATGCGATGCATGCTCCTCGTCTTCGCAGCTCTGGCTCTTCCTCATCTTAGTAGTTATTATCTCCTCTTCTCGCTGCTGCTGCAGATCCTGCTCACCTCATTGCTCGCATTCCATCGCCTGCCGAGCGCCATTTGCTACTAATCGCTGGTTTTGCGCAGCGGTCTCAGATTTCGTGCGACGTTAAGGCGTCGCGCAGGCCTCGCAAGAAATTCTCGGATCGGCGCGTGGAATATTCTAAAAGGCGCAGAAGCGCCTGCCAGCGCCTTAACAGATGAAGGACGATGGTTGGGTGGTAGTCGACCTCGAACCAACAACATGGCTGCCCATGTTGAAAATAAGTTGGCAACTCTCTCTCCCCTCTCTCTCTCTCTCTCCCTCCTTCTCCCGCCATGTGATGGGCCACGTCTACATCGCAGAACTGGGAATGGGGCTGGAAAAAGGCCTCCCGCTCCTTGACAACAACCGCGCCCCAAATTGCCGCCGCCACGATCACCGCGGCAACCTTCAAGACCGACCCGGAGATTTGGCTCGAGGTCGGACATCAAGGAACGGCCCGTGGCACTCGTCATGGCGGGAGCTGCGAGTGCAAGCCCAGGCCCTCGAAATCACACCGCGCTCCCGGGGAGGCCAGCTCTTAACTATGCCGAGGCAGGAGGCCCCGTGGCTCTCGGCAAATCACGCTGTGCCTGCCCGACGGGAGGCGCGGCAGAGGAGGAGCAAACGCAGGAGGGGGGCGGGGACCAACACGGCCCACGACATGGAGCGTCTCGCCTGCTGCCGACGAAGTCTGGCTCGGGCGTTGGCAGAACTAGGTTTAGTGGAACCTGGTTTAGTGATGTGTACTGGTGGAGGCCCCCCCCTCCCCGTTCCACTAACAGGAACTGCCATCACCCGAAAAACACCAGCTACGGCAGACCTGGTGTAGGGATTCTGGCCAATTCAAGGGCCCCGGGGCCCTACCACTAACCGGGTCCCCTTACCTGGGGTCCTGGCTATACCCGACTGGCTGCGAGAAGGGCGGCGTGTCCCCTGCCGCCGTTTGGTTAGAGGGGCTGCCGGTACAGCACGGGCGCTCACGACCTGTGCGCAGCGACCCCCACCACCCACGCAGGGGGGCAAGGGAGAGGTGGCAGTCGCAGATACGGTCAACCCGTATAGCAAGGATGCGCGAGAAGGACGCAAAGGCCTTGGAAGGCCACGTCGAGGCTTTTCGGACGGGCCGAAGGGGCAAGAAGACCAGGGCGCCCTTGGGAAGGTTGCCCATCCTTATGATGCGGGTTGACTGTCAGCACGGACATCAACTGCACAAATATTTGGGGAGTCCGCCCAGATTCAGTTGATCGGCGCTGGGCCCCCCCCCTCCCTGGCGCGCGGAGTGCTGCATGGGCGGCGCCAGAGGCGCCGCCAGGGGGGGGTCCAGTGCCGACTCAAGAAATCCGCGGGGACCTCCGAAAGTTTGTGTGTTGTGTCCACCTGGGGGTCAGAACTATGTGATGGGCAGGAAGGGGAGGCAACAGGCGAAAGCAGCATGGCAGAGCAAGATCGTATTGTTTCGGCTCAGGTGAGGTGTAGCTTGCAATTACGGTCAGTATCGTACGCAACCCAGATGGGTGTTTGATACAACCCTGTATTCAAGAATGGAAACGAATTATGTTTTGCGCGGCTCACTATTGGATTGCGACCGATACCAATATTGGGACAACATCGTCTCCCGCGGCGGCCACTGCTGGGGTACCCATGGATTCCTATGCTTTGGTTATGGACGTGGACAGGGCGGACAAGGGGGAGGGCGAGGAGGGGAGTACGATGACGAGGGCGAGGAGGGAGAGCGAGGAGGAAGGCAAGCAGGGGAGGGGCGAGGAGGGGGAGGACGAGTTGTACTGCCCGCCGAAAGCTTTGGCAGGGTTGGCCATCGTTGAAGACCCTTCCCGGTTACTGCTCTGACGAGTTGTTTTCCCCGCGGCTGTGGCCAATCGTGTCTTGCGCAGGCGACGTGCAGAGCTGAATGGGATAAATAAACGCACATATGGCTAGCACTTGGGCGCCCGAGTTATCCGGGGTAACTCGGGTCCGGGGTAACTCGGGTTTGGATTCCCGAAAAAAGGAACCCGAGTTAGCCCTGACCCGAGTTACCCCTGATGACTCGGGGCTCTGGACGCCCGAGTTATCCGGGGAAACTCGGGTCCGGGGTAACTCGGGTTTGGATTCCCGAAAAACGGACCCGGGTTAGCCCTGACCCGAGTTACCCCTGGTGATTCGGGGCTCTGAAGCACCTGTCCTGGGGATCATCGCCGGTGGGCCCACTGGGAGAAAAGACCGCTTGGCTTGGGCTGCGGCCGCTAGCGCCTCTGCCTCCTAAACCCCCGGCTTGCCTGGCCAGAGCAGCCGACGCCGTGCCCGTTTCACAGCGTGGTTCTCCAGAAGCTTGGACCCTCCCCCCAGGACCCGCTTCTCGCCCCAAGCAGTGCTTGCTGGGGAGCCCGGGGCCTCATGTGCGTGGTCCCCTGGGGCCACACAATGCTCTCAAACCTCAGGCCGTGACTTTCCTCACTCGTCGTGGCAGAAAAATTGCAAAACCGTGAAACATAGCGGCCAAAGCCCTAGACCCATCTTTCTGCAGCGTTTGTCGAGCTGGATCCATCCCTGAGGCCCAGAAAACAGGGCGACACCGCCCGCTGCGAAGAATTGCAGCGCCAACATGTCAGGGTTGTCCCACGCTGACTGGACGGTGGGTTCGGGGATCCCCGTAAACGGTGCGGTGACCACACCGTATGTGAGTCAAAGGGGATCTGGGGCTGCCGTCTCCGAGGATGCCTCGGG